AGAGTGCAGGGCAAAATTCAACTACGATGCTGCTCTTCTCTTCGCACTGCACCCGCCCTTCGCGTCCCCACACACATCTCCGTCTATGTGTTCGTGTGTGTGTGCGGCTACGCGCGGGCATCGCCCATTCACGGTGAAAAAAGTGTCACTGCCTCGTTGCTGTGGCATTTAGTGCCGCAATCCGCTCAAGCGAGAAGGGGCAGAGCACACCAGGCGGCCGCCCTCCCGCAAGGAGGAGGAGGAGGAGGGACGCCGCCGCAGTGCCCGCCATGACGCAAACACGCAGGGCGCCCACAGCACGTGGACAGCGCGAGGGTCCGTTTCGCCATGCGACTTAGACCGCACGGGGCGCAGTCGTCGTGGCGGAAGCCGCTGCCCTTCTGTGCGTCGGCGGCGTCGGCGGGGCAGCGGCGTGCAGGGCGGGACCGTCTGGAAGGGGGTTCTAAGGCGTGGGCAACACCCGCAGCAGCGGAAAGACCCTCCGTGTGCCGCTCAGCCGCCAGCGCCCATGGCACTTCCCCCGCAGCAGGAATCCGCAGAACCGCCCAGCACCTCCCACAAGGAGGTTGGAATGCAGTGTCAATGCTTCCATATAAATTATCACACAGGAGAGCTATGATGATTGCCTCACGCACACCCACACACAAACAAGAAAAAATTTCGTCAATCCACAAATAAAATGCCCGGAGAAACGTGGTTGTTTGGGGATACATTTGTCAACGTCCCCTCTCTTACCCTTCATCCAAGAAGAACCAAAACGAGTGCGGGGCCTAGGACGCCAAAAAAAAAACGGATCATATTGGTCCGGGCGATACTCCCCATTGGTAAAATACAGACGTGTACTTTATTCCATTGGTTTCGCGACAAAATTGTGTCCCACCACCTGAGCTACTAAAAGACCTAAAAGAGAGGCGCAAAAGAGCAAGGCAAAAACAACAAACAGCACAAGTTGCAGAAGGCATACATTCAAGGCAGAGGCAACGCAAAAAAAAAATTGCTAGCAGTGCCTTAGAGTGAAAAAAAAAACATGTACACGGAACGCACATATATATATATATGTACTGTATTTTACATGGAGTGGTAAAGGCAGCACAAGAAGCAAGCAGCTAGAATCAATTATTCTCTTCTTCTTCTTTTTACTTCTTCTGTGTGAAGGTAGTTTTGGTGCCTTGCGTGGGAAGTTTTTGTGCACAGCGAGGCTGCAGAAGAATTTCATACAGTAAACGGCGAAAAAATCACTTTACATTCAAATTGTATCGCCTTTCATATGGCATTCCCTGGCTTTGCGGTATGTCGCGGCGAAACCGAGATGTATGTTTGATGTAAGTTGCCTGGGATCGTTGTGTTTGTGTGAAGAATAAACGATTTCACGCGCAGTCTTGTCCTCTTCCATGATGTCCTTCAGCTCTGGAGGCACCAGGGCATCAAAGGACGCACGATCCACCACAAAGGCCTCCGAAAGCCCGTAGCTGGTTACTGTGGAACAGTAATGTGACATCGAAGAGGCGTATTCATAGGCCCCCAAAACCAAACTAAAAAAGGTCTTGATCACGCTCTCCCTTCCCTTACTGAGGACATTGTCGGTGGAACCCGAGAGAAGCTCCATGGAAGTGGCTTCACCATTGACAGTAATCCGAACCGTGTGATGCTCGCCGTTTCCGGCAATAAATGTTGTTTCAAAGACACCGCTATGCAATATAATGAACTGTTGAAAAGGTTGCCCTTGAACCACGAGTTTCTCGTCGTTGAGGTAAATCACTGGGAGTGCGGATTCCCACAGTCGGTTCATTAAATAACGTGTGAGGCAGAACAGAAGGTATGGATCTTTTCGTACCGAACTGGGCGCCGTTGTGGGTTTTATCACCTCATTTGCGCGATTCGACTTGGCCGCATTGCGGCAATACAAAAAGGCGGCCGGTTCACTCATGCCAACGTCAATGAGAACCTCTCGACGCATTCGCCAAATATCGCAATAGTTTTTGCTTATGATGGAGCACCGTTTTCGCTCATTCACACTGCAGGCGCATTCAAATATCCCCACGCAGCTGCCACGTGGAATGGAGTGGCGGGTTCCGTCCTCTTCCAAGAGGATGGCGACGCCGTCTTGGATAAAGTAGGCTGAGGAATCCATATCCGACTTTGAAAACAAAGGGTCCCCGTCGTGAAGCACAATGGGCTCAACAGCTGAAATGATTTTATTAAGAGCCTCAGTACTAAATTTCTCAAAGTATGGAAATTGGCGAAGGAGTTCGACACGAAGAGGGAAAAATTTCTGCAAGTTTGCTCGTCGTCGAACGTCAGTCGCTTCTCGCTGCTTGCTTGCCACCTCTGCACTCAAGTGTTGCGCGACTTCTTCGTAGTCCTCGGGGGAAACCGCCCAGGCACCGATATCGGTTTCACATTGAATGGATGCACTTCGGGGTTCCTTGCACACCAGAGCAAACTCTCCCACGTAACACGGCGGATTGAGCGCGAAACACGCCTTGCTGCACTCCTTGGTTCGTTTCTTACCCTTGGCGCGGTCATTCAGAATGACACTCACATAGCCAGTGGTGATCATGTACATGCAGCGATCCAAATCGCCTTCATGCATCAAAAATGTCCCTGCTTTGAGAAAAAGCGGCTTCCCTTTTCGTGCCAACATTTCCAAAAGACGAGGCGGCCACCCATTAAAAAATGTTCCATGCATGCTATAAATAACAGATGGTGAAGGAAATGGTATATTATCTCTATTCATTCGGGTTAACATTTCCGCCTCCGCTCGCTTCGCCCTAACGGCTGCCCGGCGCTTGATCACAGGAAGTAGCATCCAAGAAATCTTTTCATACGCCTCATGAACGCGTCTCTCTTTCATCAGAGCAGTAAGAAACATGTGCGAGAGTATGATGGTGTACCATCGCCTTGCCCGAACGGCTTGTACTTCCTCTCGCAAAATAGTAGTCAAGTTTTTGTGGCGGGTAAACACGGCCTCCCTTCGCGCTCTTCCTCCCTCGTAGTCCAGGCGACGTTCCTCCTGCTCAACTGCCACCCGCGTGGCAGCACGAAGTTGTATGTCATGTATGTACTCGCTCGTATTACGCACATGAACTGCGCAAAGTCGTCGTTGAAATTCCTCCTCGATGAGAGGAGAGCTTTTCTCCAACCTCGAAAGAATCAATTTTTTTTCCCATTCGTTGATTTCCCTCCCCATCGTCAGGGCATTCATCATCAGTGAGTAACGTCGCGAAGAACGGGACGGTGGCACAAACGGAGGGCAAACAAACTCGCTGATCGGCTCGACTTCAGTGAGAACGTCCTCAACCGAAGGCACGCCTGTGCGGGTGATGAGCCAGTCATGATCACCGATGTTTCCATCGTCGTGCAGAGTCACCATCGCGACTGCCAGATCCACGCGGAGGGGGCTAGACGCACCGCCGCGCAGGGAACGTCGTCAGGCGGAGAGGCCAAGGCGGGGAGGGGGAAAGCTCACAGCGAAAATGGGGGGTGGAAAAGGGAGAGAAGAGCCCAAATGTGCTAAAAAAAAGAACACTAGCAGCAGGAACAACACCAAGAAACTAAAAACACACATCACATTTTTCTTTTTTTTATTTATTCAGTGTTGTGGCCTTTTTTCTTTTTTGTTTTGTATTGTCTTCCGTTTTAATACGAAGTTGCCGCCCCCTCCATACGAGCTCGCTCCCTCTCTCTCTCTCACACACACACGTACACACAGCGAGGCAGAAAAAGCTTCAGAGCCGTGGTGAAACGCGTGTCAATCGTCCGAGTCCGTGCATTTCGTCTTTCGGGTGACCTTCCTCTTGACGTGGTGTAAGTCTTCGCCACGAAGCTCGCTCGGCCCCTTCCAGCGCCCCAACTTTTTCAGCGTAGACATCAGCTCCGCAACCTCCTCGGGCGGAATCTTGTCATGATAGCGGCGAAGGAACTCTTCGGCGTCGACAGGGTCAATATGGTTATGGGCCGCCTGTAACGTATCGGCGTCGTACTTGAAAAAAGTCTCATTTGTTTTGCCATCTCTGTAGACCGGAATCAGCCCGGCACGAATGGCCTCGTAGATCTGCTGGCCACGAACATTGTGCAACGCAGCCACCTCCGGTGGGTCGTTTCTATGATACCAGAACTCAAACTTTGTCTGCTTCCATGCGGCAACTATTGTTTTGTAATCCGTATCAAACTTGCGGAGATACAGTTTGAGAAGCCTTCGGTACAGCAAGGAGGGGGAAATGGGTCTCAGTTCCGCGGAAGGAATGGGTGCTTCCGGCTTGGGCGAAACGATTTCTATTTTTCCACAGCGAAGGACAACTCGCCGGAGCATCTAGAGAGCCTACAGTTGAAGGTGCAGCAGAAACGAAGAGAGTACGCGTTCAGCCGCATCATCCAACAACAGCGGCAGAAGCGGCAGCAGCAGCAATAAAAAAAAAAAAAACTGTCGGTTCCTCAGGACCAGTGCGGGCGTCCTCTCCGGTCCGCCTTTCTTTCTCTCTCACTCGCCCTTTATTTTTTGCCTTTGTGTGTATGCATGCATGCGCGTTAGTTGGCCCTCATCACACCTTTAATCGGCTTCTTTTACCGCATCGCGGGCATGCGTTCCATAAACTGGAGCAGCCAGTCCGTGTTAACCGTCATTTCTCGAAATAAGACGTCCGTCTCATACGTTGATGGCAGGTACATCGTCAACATCTGTTCCACCTTTCGCAGCAGGAGTGCGTCGGATGCGGCCGTAGTCCCAAAGGAGTGGATGGTGGTAGGCAAATCCCTAAGGCACACACTCTCTACAACCAAGCAGCGCCTATTAGGTGGTCGTTTGTTTCTTCGTGGCCTCACTTCCTGTTCATTGCTCCCCCTCTGAGCACTTCGTGGATTTTCTGCGGCAGTGCAAGCTCGCGCCGGCGCATGAGGAACCCAACGCGCGTCTTCCGGCATCGCTTCCACCGAGGGCGCCATCGCTGTGTGCATAGCCGCACTGCCTCCCTCCCCCACTTCCCCCGCAGGCAGCACGCACGCTTCTCCCTCCTCGTGCCACGCCCCCTCCGCCGAAAACAAATGATGATCATACGTCTGCAGCGGAATTGTTGCACCCCGTGCCCGCGTACTAAATAGATGAAGTGGCAGTGTGGAAGCCGGGAGGCTCTCAGCATCCGCGTCCACAACAAAGAACATGTCTCTAATTCCTCTTATATTCGCCAGAAGCGACTCCACATCCGCCGGCGAAAAAGAGGAGGCCCTTGTGGCGGTAAGCCTTACTTCCTCCATGAACCCCAAAACCTGCTGCACCGCTGAGGCGTCACTACGGCACACATTGGCGCAGCTGGAGGTAAAGTCTTCGTCAACGCCACAGTCTAGTAGACTCCATCCCTTGTGTTTGGCAGAACTGCAAAACATGTTCAAATGGTCCTTCCATCGCTCAAGTATAACAGCAGCCTCTGCCTGGGCCTGATTTCGAATAAGCTCGAGTTCTATCCAAAAGCGGCAAAACGTGTTAAATGCCTGCAGACAGCGACGCGGAGAGTAAGTTCGCTCCTCCTTAGACGCGCGTCGAATGACACCCATAACCAATGAGAGAAAGTCCACGCGATGCATTGTGAAGCGTGCCACCAATCGAACATGTTGAGTGTTCGTCACCTCCTTGTTTAAACTACCCCATCGCATCCAGTTTACGGCGAGCAAGGCAACACGCTCCAGTGCTGTCGTCGCCGTTGCAAGGGAGGCAAGTGACTCTTTTTTAATGTACCCCACAACAGAGTGGCGTTGTTGCAGAAGCAACCCCTTAATAGATCGGTGCGCACACTCGGGGTCCGCAAGGTCACGTAGCATATAATCACAATACGAGACTTGCAGGAAAAAGTTTCTGGTTAACAAGAAAGAGGCCTTTTCAAGAACTTCCCTCGCCAATGCTTGTCGCTCGGCCTCTGAAAGAAGCGGCTGTTGCCCAAGGCAGTAGTCGACAAGGCTAGTCCACGAAAAGGACTGGTGCGGGAAAAAGCTGGCCCGCATCGCAAGAAAAAATCGGACACGTTCGTAACCAAACAACTCCATGCCCGTGTAGGCAGAAGACCCAGTCTCTCGGTCAATCAAGGAGGTCCATTGAGCCCAGAGTTCCACCTCCAATCGACGCATAATCTCCTCCTTCTCCGACACCACAACGAGAGAGGTGTTGTTCGCCGTCAATCGGACCGGGCGCGGGAGGTACAACAGCCTCGGCAGAGCATCGCCGCCATGAGTATTGCAGCATGCCCCTATGAATCTGTTCAATTCTCCGGCAGCCCCGCGCGCGCGCACAAACCGCTCCTCTAGGCGACCCTCAGTCGGGGGTCGTCCTCTGTATTCAGCCTTCAAAAAGAAATCGTAGTCCTCCTTTACCTCGTTGAGGCCGTTTAGGGGAGTTCGAAGCACCCGGATGTACATTTTTCGAACCCACTCACGTCGCAGGTGTGCGTCACGAATTTTGTCGCCTTTCCAGCGGATGTATTTCTTCCACACCTCCGTGCTTGCAGGGCAGTGCCCAATATACTGCTGCAGCGCAGTCCTAAAAACAGCATCCAACGTGGCATCGTCCGGACGGATAAAACGCTCCAAAAAGTCTATAAAGAGACGAAACATCTCAACATTAAAACATAATGGGAGATGACGAAAGAAACAATTCAAGATACGACAATAGGAACGATAAGTTTCCTTCGCATCATCCTCGTCCCTCTCCTCCCAAAGAAAACGTCTTTTTGCAGCCTCTGTTATTTCTCGCGTCAAGTAGGCAACCGCCAAAGGTCCACTTGTTGGAAAGAAGAACAGCGCGGCTGACCATACATGTCTGACAGTTTTAATTGGAAAACTCGCAAGACTGTTTAGCAGTGATACCCAGGATAGGGTACTATACACATTCTTGTTAATTTCCATAAGATCAGTGACCATGGATTGTGTCGGGTTTGGAATGTACATCTCCACCCGCCTATACCGTGTCTCATCAAAGCTTAAGAGGGGACCAACGACGAGGGTGAACAATAAGTTCCATGGAGAGAGATCACCAGCAACACATTGTAACTGCTTTGGAAGCGTTTCAATGCCCAACTCCTCAAGCATGTGGCGCTTCATGAGATGATATGCTTGCTCCGTGTCACTGTAAACGGCGGATAACCGCTCCATCTCCAGCGACTCGGACGTCTCATTGATCCACCCAAGCAGACGGCCCACATCATCTGAAATCGCCGCCTCCGTCTGCAGCGAATGTTGCAGTTGTTCCATGACATGCTTCTTGAGTTCATTCCTTGTATTTTGCAACATGCCTAGGGCAGGATGACGACATAGTGCCTGTTGAAGCACCAAGCGGCACTGTTCACCGATGCAGGTGGCGGTGACCTCTGGCATGGGCGCCTCCACGACCTTGCCCGTGGCAAACCGCAAGCGGTTCATCAGATCCCGCAGGTTGTCATCCTCCATGTTTCCTCACGTGCCTCTAGGGAATAACGAGGGAATGAAACTAGTAGGGTGAGAAAGAGGGTAAACGAAAAACAACAAACCCCAAACGCGCATTCACAGAAAAGGAGTAGGGAAAAGAAGGAAAAAACAACAACAACAACAGAGAGAAGCGACGGTGGCAGCCACTGAATCACCTGCATAAATGCATGGTCCGGCAGCGATGAAAATAACATGGAACATGCGCCCCTAGCTGAGGCCCTGGCCCAATATTCCTACAACAATAAAAAAAAGCCATAAAATGGGGGCATTAAAATTTGGCTCCTTCTGCGCCCAAGAACACCCCACGGAAACGTCGTTTCCTCCCACTCCCACTCCCACCCACACACACACACACACACACGCACACACACGAGCACAGGCATCAATGAATAAATAAAATGATATGCATACATATATATATATATATATTCCTTTGATAACCGGGCCCATTGACCTCACGAAGTGGCGGTCGTTAGCGCCTCCCCCGACACCACCGGCTCCCTCCGCGTGGAGGCTGTCGGCAGTAAAGGGTGGGGGTGGGGGAGCGGCAGACAACACGGCGGCAAAGGAACCGCACTCACGCAATCTTCCGCCACGGCTGTCTGTGAAGCCAGAAATCAACTAAAGCGCAAGGATTCAGGGCAATCCAAAAAAAAAAACAGTCACTTTCATCTACTGAGCTCCACTGGGTTGCAGATTTGTTTCGCGGTTTTACGAAGGAACAAAGAAAAAAAAACGAGAAAAAATGCCGCAGTAACGAATTTATGCATTCGGGGGATCTCCTGATGAAATTGAATGGTGATCTAAAAAAACAACTCCCACAAAACTGTCTGTTTCAGCCACTGTTCGTAAGAACTGGACAACTAACGCAGGCACCGAGTCTAATAAGTCCCTTATAGTTGCAATGGTTTTCCTAACGCTGTTTTCAGCGGCCTGAGTTTGCCGCGGAGCCCTAACTCCAACTTCACGTTCGGCGGGCGCCACCTCTCGCACGCGTACGCCTGCAGCCACAGGTTTGCCCACGACAAATGTACGCACGAACTTCGGCACCGTGTGCGGCGACACCAATTTTTTCGTCTCGTGTTCGTGCACACCGCGCAGCTGGGTCGGGCGAGGTTGTTTCAGCTCCCATATTTCCAGCAGAAAGGACGCGGTGCACAGCACTAAGGCGGACGCTGTAGAGTATAACTGATAGCTCCCCCCAAACTTCTCTCTCCCCCCCGGTGCCAGGAAACCCTGCGAGAGATTGTGTAGCGTGTAGGGAACAAAAGAGACGGAGGCGATGTGCATAAAATGAGGTTTCCAAAGGAACTCAGCTGTACTTTTTAACGTGAAATGCTTACTGCCGCAGAACAAGTAGAGTAATAAACGCCTCGGAGCACCGCATAGTTTCACACTCAACAGAGAAAGCAGAACCGTCATCCAGATTCCACAGTGCCACGAGTACACAATGAAAAAAACGCCGGAAGTCACATTGCAGTATGGCTCATCAAAAATGCTCTGTACCAGCAGCCTCCATGCGGCGCCTGCAAGAAAGGGAAGAAGCACCAAAAGCACCGCAGAATTCACAAGATACCAAAGACACTGTTGAATAGTGGGTGGAGTCATGGTGTCAAGCAGAAGGCGTACATCCTCCAGAAGTAAAACGTATTCGACGCCATCCCGGGAGCGGAGAGCCCTCAATGTCTTTTGTAGTCGCACAGCAGGACGCGCAAGACCTCTGGCCTGTTTTTGTGCTTCCAAGCTGGCCGAAATGTTATCCAGAGCATGTGCAAATTTGAGAGCCACATCCACAGGCAAGTTGGGAATCGACCGAATGCTGTAGCCAAGCGTGTTCCCATCCCGAACCTCAGCTGAAACCAACCACAAACCCAGGCACGACCCAAACCACCAGCGATGCTTCCACAGTTCCAATAAGTGGCGGGGTTGCTGAAGCCAACGCGGCAAGAACCAAACTGGCACGGGGTTCAATTGGTGAGCAAGCTGTAGGGGGTGAAAGAAAAGGTAGCACCTAACCTCAAAAAACAGGCACATTCGCAATAGATGGCCTCGCTTACCCAGCGCGTAGGATCCTACGATGGCATACGCCGCCAATGCCACAACTGTCACCAACCAAGCGAAAACCACAGATGCCAAGACACGCGCAGCGCCTGAAATCAAGCGCGACAGTGAGGAACAACCTCCGTGCATCACCTGTTTGACGTTAAAGACGTTCTCAACGGTGAAAGCCAAGAGGTCGTATATCCGCTTTACCACGTATTGAATTGTCGTATTGGAAACAAGAAGCAGCCTCCCCCAGAATAAGAAGGGGGGTAAAATATTGCTGGGCAGCAACACTATGGGCACTGCTGAAGGGAAAACGACACGGACGAGGGCCAGCGAGAACCGGAGCAGCACAACTGAAAAGAGCACTGTGTACGTGAGAATTTCAGCATAGATGAGTAGAAATGTCTTCGTGTCACAGCGCAAAATAACATCAATCACATTCCTCTGCAGCGTCCGGTAAAGTGTGCTCCAACCCAACCACCGCTCCTCAATGAATGTCTGTAGGAGAAATCGCATCAGTTTAGGGACAAAGAGAACGAAATACGCCGCCATATATCCAGTTTCCAATACCGATATACTGTCAACCTTGGAAACGAAAACCGTGGAGGCAAAGAGTGGAAATAGGAGCGGATCCTCGCCCTCCATGACCCATGCGCCTCCACTGGCAGCACCAGAAATACTATTCGTATGGCTAGTATTTATGTGCGTCATGTACACGTCCCCAAAGTTGCCGCAGGTGTCATTCTCCGTGGTCCATGGAAGAGCACGCAGTGCCTTCAAAATGGTCACAGACGAAGAAGCCGTAACAACGTCTGCCGAATTCATGGAGAACATTGGCCGAGGCAGCTTGTTGGTTGTGGTCTCCGTCGCAAGTTTCCATGCCCTCTCATAGTCGTTGGGAGCAAACGAGGTCTCGACTACAAAGTAGTCCAGGCACCCCACTGTCGTCACGAAACACACCGTTAAAAAAGCACAAGATAACAACGCAATTATTTTCAGCATTCCATGGAAATAGCGAAGCATCAAAGGTACCAGTTGACGGTACCGCAAACAACGCAGGCGTACGGGGAGCCAAGATAAAATCCACACAGAGAGGCTTAGTCTCAGATAAAGGACGGACCCAGAAACCAGCCTTGAGCCTCCCAACGCATCTAAGAACAGCGTAACCATGGCGTAACGCAACTGAAGCGTGTCCTCCGAGGAAGATGATAACTGCAGAACCCTCTGCAACGCTGCATTGCAGTAGAAGCTCCCATCGGCAACGTTCCAAAAGAATGTTACCGTCCTACGCATCACTTCTGGAAAGAAAATTAGCGACACCCACATAACAGCACAAAAAACAATGAAGTACGCAAATCCCCCTGCAACGGTCGGCGATAAATATCCTCCGCCAAAGACATCACTGGATTCCTGCCTTGATAGCCTGATGGCCTCCAAAACCGTTTCCTTTTCCTCTGGGAGGATGACTGGGACCAACCGGCAGCCTCCGACCTCCTCATCCAACTCCTCGTGGAGTTCCTCATCAGAATTTGTGAGTACAGCATTGGTGCTGGGTTGGCCCTCCACCTCGTCCCCCACTGGAGTCATTCCAATCGCTTCCCCCACTGCGAAAAACCACCAAAGGCATTGGTACCACAGAAGGAAAAGAGGAAGTACACTGAGGGTGAGCCCCGCACCCACCACGAAAAAAAAGAGCGGCGAGAAATGGCCCAACACTGGAACTAACTGAATGACAGAATCCCACGGTGGAGTGAAGGGCACAAATGGATGTGCGGCATAATAAAAAAACGCCACAACATAGGGAAGCATAATGAGCAGTAGCGTATTGAGCACCACAAAGGTTAGCGTCCCAAGCCAGCGCGCCAGGTAGTGCCTAGCACAAATCCAGCACAATGTAAAAAATCCAGGTTCCCCATCCGCCGAATACAACTTGAACACTTTGACAGCATTGTAACTCGCACCGCATACCTCGCAGGAAAGTGAGCGACGTTGGCACACCCAATCCAGCAAACACTTCGAGTGCACACAACGCATTGAACCCCCACAGTTGCAAGGGCGTATAAGTCTCCCTTTGCTCGCATAACATATTCGGCATGTGCCTTCGGTCTTGGACATCGCACCAGATATAACCCTGAAAAAATTCTACGCAAACAAGAAAAAAAAAGGCGCGCCGTATAGATGCAACAATAATAGTAATAAAACTCAAAGAGCAAGTAGCTTAACTTCGCTCCACGCAGGGCCAGAGGGGGAAGACAAGAAGAGAAGAGGAAGGAGGGTGGGGAAGTAGTAGTATGTGATTGAGGCCTACACGTCACTGTTCGTCGGCGTCGGCGTCGGCGTCGGCGCAAAGGCTGCGTCCTCCGAAAGGTGAAACCGTGGAAAGGTTTGAACTCCCAATTCCTCCGCCGCGGCGGACAGTCGCTTGTCCAGCGTACACAGTGTGAGCGACTCGGAGGCTATCCCTCGCACTTCACGGTGGTGGCGACGGACGTGGTATTTCAAGAAGGAGAAAAGCATCGTCCCTTCAGAGATGAGGGAGGCCCCCTGAAGTGAGGCTGCCTTTTTTAGCCGAAATGCATATTGAAGAGACAAGCATGTATTGAGTATGCGTAGATCAGGATCGTTCTCATCTGCAGGCTCATTCAGGCGCGAATACGCCAAATGAGAAATTGGCGAAAACGACATGCATGGAAATTCAGATGCCAACGCCAGTACAGTTACCGATGGTTGCTTTAAAAAAGTCATCACTCGAGACCACAAAAGACTTCGCACGGCCCGTTTCAATTGCGTTGAAGGACCCCAAATAAGCTGGTAAATCTCACGCACTGTGGTGAAGGGCAGAATAACATGCTCAAGTGGTTTACCCTCGAGCTGTGGATACTGCTTCCGCATGGGCGGATAGAAATGGCTAAGTGGCAAATTTTTTGCCGTGCATTGAAGCAAAAAGTTAGTGTCAAGAACCAAAAGCGTGTCGCCGTGCTTCAGAGCATCGTCCGTGAGCTCAGAGACGGGACGAAAGTGGACCCTGTTCAAGGACAACAGTTTCACATAGATGGAGCTGAGCGGATTCAGATAACGTCTATGCATGCGAAACAACTCACTCGAAGGCAAGAGACGAAATGGCTTTTCGTTTCTCTGCGAAGGCTCGATGAAATTCTTTCGTGGGTGCATGCGACGTGTAATGTCGTCCACAGCCTCACGCAAGGTAAAGGTAGAGTAAGGGTTGGCCGAGTACAGGCAATCGCAGAGTCCACCGTACATTGCCATACTTTTAAGGGTACTCTCCCGAGATGAGGAAAGTATGCCCAAATCCTCCGCCATCTCCAAGACGGCACGCCAGTGGCCTCTCTTTTGCAGTGGCTTCACTAGGGCAGAAAAAAGGTTGTCGTCCATCCTGTGACCCTGAGCGAGTGAGGCCGCCACGAGTCGGAGCATTTTGTCATACTCCCCTGCCGACCCAAGAGAACGGACGACGGGTTTAATAAACAAGGAATCCAGCGGAACGGGTGACCGGCGGTACAGCAACTGGAGTGCCTGTTCCCAGCGGCCATGGGGCGCCAATATGTTCAGCAAGGTTCGCGTATCTGCCAGGTTATGCTGCATGCGTTCGTTACTCTCGTAGAGCGCCATGGCATGCTCCCACATTCCGGTAAAGGAGGCGTACACCAGCATCGAGCGCGCCCCCTCATTTGTGGTGGTGTCTACATCCTCTTCCATAATTCGTTTGAGCGCGTAGAAGTTGCCGCAGCGCTTAAAACGTTCCAAAGCCGTACTCACCAGACTCATGGGCGGTTGTGTGTGGCCACACGTCCCTTTAATTACCTCGTAGTAGAAGAGCGAAGCACTCCATGACGTCTCCATCTTTGCGAGCCCGTGGCGCAATTCCTCGGCTGTCGGCTGGTACACGCCACGCAGCACCTCACACGTTTTGCGGTAGCAGGAAAGAACCTCCGCCCAGGAGGCGCACCCAGAGGATGCCACCAGCAGTGGCAGAGCAACAGCCGCCGGTGAACCCCTCCGCATCTACGAAACCACACAACGACAGACAGACGGACAGACAAAGAAAAAAGAATGAGAACAGTAGACCCAAAACGCAAGGGCACATGCATACACAAGGGAAGCCACAACGCAATGGATGGTGTCTCCAGAGGCATGCGTCCATAATAGTAAAGACAGAGACGCGGAAGGAGAGAGCACCACTGGTGTCTTTATTTTCTCGTTCCTTTATCGCTCCCGGTGGCATCAGTTTTAAACCAGCAAAAAAAAAACGGGCAACAACAAACCAACAACCTAAAACAAAACAAAAAAAAAGAAAATTACAGCGAAGGACGTGGAACACACACTCACACACACATACCTACCACACGTCCGTGTATATAATGAAAGTCAGCGCCACCACACACGGTTGCGTTTCCGTCTACATCAAAGGCGGTTTCAACTGGAAACAAGAGACATAGATAGGTGTGTGTTTCTGTGCATAGGTGTATAACGCATGCGTAGAGCAGACGTGGATGACAAGCATAATTCGGCAAAGGAGGCGACAAGCAAAAACAAAACAAAACAAAAAAAAGAGGCAAAAAGAGAGAGGAAATAAACGACAAAAACGGACAAGTAAGCATATATAAATATATATAAAGCTGGGGGAGAGAAGAAACCCAAGAAATGGCCCATTGACCTTGAAGAAGTGAAATATTGGCGGTGAGTGGGGGGAGGAAAAAAAAAGAGTGAGAGTGAGAGTGAGAGAGCTCAGCGTCGCAAATATGGAGCTTTGCACAACATGCAGGGCCCTACGCCAGCTCCATCTCCATTTCATGCGCGATAGCAAGAAGCATCTTTTCCCTAAAGAGTTCGTAGGTATCGTAGGGCGGAATGGTCACCAAGGAGGAGCACGACTGTGCTCGGGGAAGGTGATCCATGCTCTCTGTATTCTCCGTCAGCTTAATCCTGCGGATGAGGGGGAGTCGCTTCTGCCCACAGGCAAAGCAAAGAAAGGAGGAGCGCTGCTCCACGGTGAGTTCGTCAATGATGCGCCAGAAAGCCTGCTCCCGCATCCCGGTCAACTGGACCTCGATGGATTGCCTCATCAGTTCGGGGGTTAGGTTTGAGTCACCGCAGACCATGCGCTCCAAATCCCGCCAGGAGAGGCAGCGGACAACACGTTTGGGCAGGACAGACCACATCCCTTCCCGAATGGCATTCAGCTGCAGGTCCATGGAGTGCAGCAGACAATCCTCCGCCAGGCGACGACAGGTAGCCAGCTTGGCCTTCTCACCCACCTCCTCATTTCCCAGTACCTCCAGCATTGCAGCAAGATTTGGAATAATTTCCTCAGCCATCCCACTCATCAAGAAATCGGCGTCCTCCATGCTCTTCTCCACCACACTGTCAACGTACCTGTAGTAGTCTTTTATTGTGAGTGCGTCCTCCACAAGGTACTTCCACACAAATGGCGAAAAATCCAACGCCAGAGGCGTCTTGGCGGCAGCCATATGGCCCATAATTTTTCCAAGAAAATTCAACAAAATAATATCATAAGCAGAATTAGCAGAGCTATCGGGGACCAACGCAATTCTCCGTGAGTTGTTCAAGTAGCGACAGAGTGGGTTCCTGTGGTAGTCTGTATGGGGATAACACTTATCCGGGTGTGCCATGAGTTCCTCGCTAAGGAAGGTCCACAACTGCCTGTACGGTCCTCCAAGGTCGTGCGGGGCGTGTCCACTGCCGGAAATGTATAAGTGCACCTTAAACAGTGGACTTTGTCGAAGCTGCTTGTCCGTGAAAGACCCGATCTGTTTATACATCTGTGACAGCACTGAGTGCTGTAGAGCCACCTCAGGTGGACGTGCAAGCGTGGAGTACAATTCCGTGATTCGCACAGTGATGCTGGGCGGGTTGGAATTTTTCTCAACAGGAGGAATGCTTACAAGCAGGTTCTTTCCAAATGAACGACGCACAATACGTTTCATAAGTAGAAATGCAGAAGACAGTCGACCGTAGACAACATCACTGTCTAGATCGATAAAACGACGCGCGGTAGCCATGCAGCTCTCTGCAACATGAATAACCTTCGCGTGTTCCTTCCTTTCCTCGTAGTCCATTTGCAACAATAATGGGTAACGTGACAATAGCTCGACCTCCAAAGGCTCTACTCGTACAGACGACAACGCCGATAAGGAAGAATTGCCTGCCTGCAGCTTCAACAAGGTGGAATCCTCTGTGTCAGAAAGGTATGACGCCAACTGCTCATAAAATGATAATGGTCGCACAGGCAGCACACTTTGAAGAGGCTGCTCCGCGTACGCCATGATCTGAACGCGCGTGAAGCGTCCGGACAAGTCGCAATAGCCATCGGGCACATATACAAACTGTGCAGCATCCAATGCCACCCGCATGCCACTGCAAAAGCCTGTGGACATGAATGCATACAAGCCTCTATCCTCGTGTTCGATAGGAATAGGGACAAAAGAGCCATATGCCCCATTCACGGACCACGACACAAGCTTTTCATTCATGTCAAGCAAGCACCCAATCACGGATCCGGGTGTCACCTCTTGTCCAGGCTTATACTCTTCTTTTTTATTCTTTGACGTCAGTTCATTTCCGGTGAAGGCAAAGCTGCAGGTGTCGCTCCCAACATGTAGGCTTGGAACCTCTGTGTGCTCCTCCGTTCCCCATCCAACGACAAACGGCGCGGTGAGTCGGTCTGGCAACACCACCTCGTAGTAGAAATTTCCGCGTGGGCCCGCCGCACATGAACTCATAACTTTACCGACCTTAAGTACCCCCTCCGCAAATTCACCAAAGGCGCAGTGCGCCTCCACAGGTGGACTCTCACGCAAGGCCGCCTCTTCCCCCGCAAGATCCACCGCCTTTGGTAGCGGGAGCCCCTCCGTGAAGGCGTGTGACATGTCGATCAGGCACTGCAGTGGGGCCAAAGGAATGTTTCGGATGGTTTCCTTAAGGAGTGATCTTTCAACACTCATGACAAGTTCCACTCCCGCGGCAACGTCCTTGCGGCTCTCGCTGTAGTGCAGGAAGTTAGGGACGTTTCGATCCACCCAGCTCAGCAGCAGCGAGAGAAGCTGCGTATAAATGTCGTGAAACCCATCACGGTGCCTCCCAACAAACGCAATAACATTTCTCAAAAGGTGGTGACGGTACTCGGCGCCGCACTGGTGCGTCGCCGCCACTACGGCGTGAAACAAATCCCAAACAAGGCTCGGAAAATCGGCAACAGCATCACGTCGAAGGAGCAGATTCTTCGTAACGAGGATCGAGAGCGTCATCGCATCCCATGGCTTCGTATTGGGGTCCAAAATAAGACTGAGAGTCCCATACACGATGCGTAGCCGCTGCTCCGGATCGGCGTAGGTGGAGACGATTTGGTTGGCCAGCGGGTGGGAATGGTAGTAAACAATGCACTCAAATGCCTCCCTGTCCACGTCTCCGCCCTTGTAAAGGATGAACAGGTACAAGTGCCGAGCCAGAAGCACGACAAGACGATGCATGGTAGATGCCATGTCTCGCTGGGGAGCTGGTGGTATCACCGGGTCTCTGCACTCCGGCAAAGGCTCAACGTGCGCCAAGGCGGTTGTGGGGGCAATGAAGCTGACTCGACGGAATGTGTTGACAACAAAAGAACCGGCCCTGTCATTCCTCGGTTTCCATTCGCCCAACACCCGCTGACTGCCCGTGTCAACACTGCCATCCATAACAACGAGAAACGTGGGTTCTTTATTACCGGAGAGCATGGGTTCTAGCTGATCCACAGCAGCCTCAAATGTCGGATGCTTCACACCTTTTTGGAAACGAAATTTATGCGAGGCCGTTGAGCCCGTCGCACGATACAGGCAAAGACGCACAGTCCTGCTGTACCGCATGTATTCACCGAAAACAAGGCACTCCCTGGCCCCGGTGGGGAAAGTCACGGTTGCCGAGCCCCCACAGTCTGCCGTAAGACGAAGAAAAATGGAGCCAGTGCCTCTTCTCGGTATCGTGATCTCTCCCTGCCACTCCCCCTCCAGCGTCGTGTCACACAGACGATTTTCGGAATCCATCACGCGCAAGGTGTGCTCCAGCAAGTTGCAGGGCAAGCCATTGTGTATCGTCCACCACGGCCTCCCACCCGATTGCTTTACTGGAATGCAGTCCACCACGTTTAGCACGGCCGTTGAAGAAGCGTTGGCAACCTCCACGCCCTTAAAGGAATTTGGCGATTCCACAGAGGAAACTTTAAAAATTTTGCCGCGCTGTGGACCCTCTATAGCGCACATGAGCAAATTTCTCTTCAGCTTGCATTGCTGGCCGCCAATCGAAAGAGACGGAATAAACCCCGCCAAGCTCTTGCTGCCTGTCATGTCACGGATGCAATTGCACGTCACATCCACTGCGGTACGAACCTCTTGAATAAACTCGATGGGCGCATCATTCCCAATCTCCACGGCGGCCATGGGACGAAGTACATTTAAAATTGTCGGGCTGTGGGACAAGAGAATGGGCGAAATTGTTTCATTCTCGTACAGGCATGAAAGAATAAGCAAAAGCCTGGAAATAACAAATCCATCACTCATTGTAACACCTGTCTCGTCAATTTCGCGATGAAGCAGACGCTCCTCAGCGACAGCGTCACAGCGGCCTGTTAGGAACTGGGAATAGGGAACCCATTGAACCACGTTGTCCAGACGCAAAAGAACCGCCACTTCGTCCTTTTCAACGGCAACAACTTTGCCCTGCACGAGATCCTTCTTCAGAAAGACATACCCCAGTGCACCCACCTCAGGCAAACTTTGGCAGGACGCCAAGGGGAGACGGCAGTGCTCGGGTCTTAGCAGCCGAACTCGTCCTTGGCAAGAAACGCGCAAAAACGTGCCCGTCACCTCCTCCACAACTGCGGGTAGGGTTTGCTTAATCTCGGGGTAAACGGAGGCAACGACGTTCCTTCGGCCAAACAGGACAAACCCAGCCAAGTTGGCGGGGCTGCCCGAGCGGGAGGCGGGAAAGGACTGTGTCCCGAGCGCCACCCAGTCGCGACGAATGGTGGCCTCCCCCGCCACGGCATCCACCTCGATGGTGATCGTCGAGCCGCGCCGGAAGCCGTAGGGGGAAAGACTCGGAGAGTTGAGCTTTCGCCCCATGGAGGAATCGCTGCAGAGGGAAGCAACATTGGCCGCCCCCGACATACATCGCTCACGAAGCATTTCGACGGACAAGGAAGTAACGTCCTCTGCTTCACCGACGCCAACAAACACGGGTGTCTCAGAGGAAAGCGGTTCGCCGCTTAACGTGTCCACCACAACCGTGAAGGTGGCTACCTTTTTAAACACAATACCCCACATTGCCACTGCACCATTTTTCTTCGCTTCCGCAACACAATTCATGTGCTTCTCCAACAAGCGACAACCCCAATTCTTCAAATACAGTGCCGTGGTTCCGGGAATCATGACCTTCATGCCCAACGCCAGAAACTTTGGGGGAGCACTGGAGTAGACAAGAGGATCTGGCCCCATTTCGGTAAAGGAGTGGTGTGAATGAATGCAAAGCGTAAAACAGGAATGACACAAGTTGTAATCCACACATTCGTTGCACTTGTACCAGACGCGGGATGTCAAGCGTGTCTCCAGGTGCTGCGTGACACAGCCATCGCAGTTGCGCTTGACATTTGAAAAGCACAGTGCGAAATGTGGCTGTTGAACCGTTGTGCGTGTTGCCGGTCGATCTCCAGCGGATGGTAAAAGCACTGCGACAGCGTCTGTGTTGTACAGGTGCACAAAGGGGAAGAGTTCCATGTCTCTGGGCAGGTTGTCAAAAATAAGACCCATTAAGACCTCCTCTTGGTTGATGCCCTTGCGATAGGCGTGCATGGTGCCCTCGTCACGATCAACCTCGAGGCGAACAATGTCCCCACTTACCAGGATGCAACTTGGGTCCGCAATGGTCTGGAAACGCGTGCCTGGGTACAGGTGACGCAGGCGCCACGGGGCATCATCCATGTCGTGTATGGCCCACACCTCTGGGTTGCCCACATTCAAATCCCGCCGCTTCCAGTCGAATGACGCAACGCATACACCAAAGTAGTACCCACCGCCCAATATCTGCCCCGTGTGCCCGCGCATGAACTGGCAACGCAAGTTAAATCGACCAGACCGTGGAACAGCGGGCTCTGCAAACGCAATGAAAGGTGTGGTGGTATTTTCCGCGCCGCTTGGCACCGTCGCCAGGCGGCCGCAGTACCGGGGAGAAAAATAGAAGCCAGGATGCGACAACACGGCAGAGAAGGTGTAATCCACAGGCACACGCGGTGACTCCAGAAGCGGAAGATTCTGGGACAGTCGCTGAATGCTGAGAAACTGCGTCACACGGACACCGTGAAACAAATAGTCCCACTGATCATTCTCTTCCGCAAGTGTGTCTTGCCGCTGCTGAGTCTCCTGTAGAGAGAGCGCCTGGGTCGTGACAAGCGGGAGAACGAGACGGCGAAGCGCCGCCACCAAACTGGCGATGCACCGCTGAATGCCCGACAAGGACGAGGAGACATCACTGACGTCAAAGGTGCCATGTGCACCCAAAAAGGAGGCAGTGCGGAGGTTGTTGATGTGCTCGTAGTACGCCAAGTTGCCAACAGAAAACTTGACCCGCCACTGCGTCAAACGACGAACGGTGACCAGAATTTTTTCACCGTTACGGCAACAGAGCTGTAAAACACGTGGGTCTGGTGTGCTCCTAAACAACGCCAAGGTGACGTTGGGGAACGCCGCCTCATCAAGCTCCTTGCAAAGACCGTCTGCCACCAAGCGCTCAAACGGCTCCAGGGTCAACATGGAACGCAATACATCCACAGAAGCCGCACCGAGGAGGGTGGACGACGAAATCGGCGCCGTCATTTCCCCAGGACTTATGTAGGCGAAAGCATCGTCGTTGTAGAGCTGCACAAATGGCACCAAATCAACATTATTTGGAATGTCCGTGAACAAAGTCTTTAGAAACTCATTGTCTCGATGAAAACTTACCGTTTGTTTGTCACAGTCAATGGTTACACGAACTTCGTCACCGCTGCCGAAGCTGCGGTGGAAAACGTTTGGTTTTACCGTCGGATTTGTGGCATGGGGCAGCTGAGGCGAGACGTCGTGAAGCGCCCATACAATGGGTGGCTTCACCGCCTTCCAGCTCTGGGAGTTACTTGCCGGGGAGAGGGGCGTCAGGTTAGCAACGGATATCCCAATGTAGTACCCACCCTTCAGGGAGTGTCCCTTCGACATCCCTTTGCGAAAAAGGCGCACCGTGAAGGACACCTTCCCCACGCGCGGGAGAATGTTGCCCAAAGCAATGCTTCGCTGCGCCTCTGGTTGCATGCAAGCCACCTGCACATGCGTGATGGTCATACATCGGTTATCACACTCCCGCCAGTAGGGGACAAAGGGAATCTTACCATGGGTATCCACCGGCAGTTTTGCGTGCTCAAAGAGGGTTTTCACCAGCTTTTTTGAGGCGCTGACGTCCCGCACGCGCGAAACGTGTGAAAGAAGTTCCGGGAAAAAACTGATGGTGGACATTCGTATGGAATGCAGCGGCAACATCATGAGAACGGTCGCCGCGTCAAACACCATCTCCCCCACCACCTCGGGCATCGGGTACTGTATGGGGTTTTGCAGGATGTGGCGAAGCGTGGCGATAAACTTTGTGAGCGAGGAGTCGGCGACCGACAGGATGACTGCCTCCTCCACGCAGCTCTCAGAAGCCTCCACCTTGCTCACGCCAATGTCCATAACAGTTGAGGCAACTTTGTGAATGCTGCGGCAAACCAACTCGCAGCACTTAATGAGAAAGATCTTTGTGCACGGTTTACCAGATTCTCGCATGAAGCCGGCACGGGCGGAGATGTAGTGAAGAACGATTTCTGCGGTTGAGGCCACGATGTACCAAGTCGGGCGCCCACTCACCGAAAGGGCGGGGTGCAACCTACGAAAATCGTAGCAAAAGGCTGTAGAGCCAAAGTTTACTGTAAATCCTGCACGTTCACGGTTATTGACGCGAATTATAGGGTAGAGAGCCTCGGTCTTTTCATTCACGATCCCCATGAAGGAGATGAAGACACCGTTGAGTGTGAAAAATACGCGTCGCGTTGTCGCCACAACTCCACAGCCAACCGTGTCGCCCTCATCAAAGGGCGGGCAGGGGACAAGGTGGGTGTCGCCGGAGTTTTCGTAGAAGTAGGCCATTTCCACCCCACGCTCCACCCCACCCCGGCAGTGGCCCAGCCCCAGTGCAAAGACATGGCACGGAAAGGTGAGCGTCACCTCAAAGTAGTATACGCGGGGAACACCGCCAAACCAAGCCATGTGCCGTGGCAGGGGCCAAGCCTCATCCGCGCGCAACGTCAGTGCGCCGGAGACCGTCTTCTCAAAGGTGACACCATCCGCCGAAAGAGAAAGCTGCAGGTTTGGAATAGTAATAGAAAATCCATTTGGCAAAATCGAGTTGATAGACACGTGCTCCGCAATTCCAATCAGTTCATCCCAGTTAGTTGTCCCTTTTCTTGCGCTTGTCGCCTCGCTTTGCTCGCGGCATGTCCGTCGTGAGGACATCAGGGGCAGGTTGCACGTGAACAGGCCCATCTGGTCCGCCAGGTAGCCAAGAATGCCGGTCACCTCATCGTCGTTCCTGGTGCACCTAAAGAACTCGCAGTCCACGGCGTCCCAGGGATGGCACATGATCGCTAGCAGCAACATCGTGGAGGGCCCATGCTCCGCCGGAGCTGTCAGCATCGCCTCCGTCGAAAGCTCCCCGGGACAGTTACTCGCCAACAGGGTTTCACACGTCTCTAGCACAGAATGAAACGCCACACGTACGCGCATCTCCAACTCGCTACCGGCGCCCACAAGGCTCTCAACCATGTGTTTCCCACTCCCCTCCCCAGAAAACAACCAGAGAGTCTGAAGAACACCGTGGAGCATTCTCGTCTCCACCTTCTCAAGCTTTGAGAGAAGCGCCGAGAGAAGGTGCAAGCCGCGCACTATACTCAACGCAGAAGCCGTTCTTTCCACCAAAATACTTTCCAGATTCTGGGGAGTAATGCCTTTGGAAAGTAGTGCACGTACCTGATCTAGTGTGTCTTGATTTTGCATTACACCCCTCACCGTGCTTCGCCTCGACGTGGAAGAAAGCCTTGGATCTGACGCAGACCGTGAGGCACCGGACGAATTATCCTGCGTGGAGCGCCGTACGTTGGAGGCGCGCCGTGTGTACAAGGGAGAAGATTCGGCCTGGTAATATACACATGAAGTAATCCATTTGGCCAGACCCAACAACGACTGCAGTGCGGCATCCTTTCCACTTCCCTGCAGTTTACTTCCCCATTCCCCGCTAAACCAACGGAGTTTTAACTCGTCTGTGGCCTGATGTATAGTCAAGCCGCTGTGTATGAGCAGAGATAAGAGCGCCTGAATGGCAGGCCGCATGAGGGACGTCACGCTGCCTCGCATATTTTTCCAAACATCATCCACAAACGACTTCCCTTCTCCCACATTGTTGAGGATGTCCACCGCGAAGCCGGAGTCGTTCACCCTGCCAGGCACATCCAACCCATGCGTCGCGAGCGTCTTTGTGTCCAGCCCATGACGCAGCAACGGCGCCAGAAAGACATCGCACGGTCTCGGGGTTGTTGTTAAATGCCTCGCCGCAGATAAAAGCAGATTCAAAATACCTTCACGCAGCACAGAGCTCCACGGCGTGCCAACGCAAAGCTCATAGCTGCAGACGATGGTAAGCGAATTCTCTCCATTTCCAAAAAGCAATAGGGTCGATCCATCTAACTTGGCAAATGGTGTCTCGTTGTTCAAGACGAGCTTAGTTGGCATCTCATGGGAAGGGTTAGACGTGATAACTGTCACTTCCGAGGCAGACAGTTCCTTTGCAATGGAAACCGTGGTCGCTCGTTTATAGTCGAGAAGAAACTTAAAAGGCGCAGCATTCGTGGTGGGCACAACGTCGCTTGCCTGGCGAGTTTCAAAGCTCACAGGGAAGAGGCTACCGGTGGCTTCTTGCGGCAGTGTATCAAGGAGATGCAGCAACGCCGATTCCACCTCTTGCTTGACCGCTGCGGGACACACTTTGGCAACACTGATCAGCATCGGTAGAAGCCCAGTGTGAACAACAGTCTGCTGCATGCTGTCATCCCACGACCGCTTTGGAAGGAGGTTTTCCGCATGCTGAACGTAGAGTTCCAGTAGACGAGAAATCATTGTGTCCCGCCCATGAGCATGAAGGAGTTGAACGGATATAATCGAAAACCACAACATAAAATGAAACACTGTCCGTCCAGAAGAAAGCCCCTCCTCCTCTAGTCTGCAGCGCCGAAGAAGTCCATTGGCAATGAGCAAAAGCTTAGAGGGGCTGTCATTAATTACAAAGGATATAATGTTGTATAGAGACTCTTTGTACATGCAGCTTTCAATTACATCTGCCGTCCTTGCATCATCGGCGTGCACAAGAATGTCCACTTTATCTGCCATGGTTAGCGATTGACTAGCACCGGCCCGGACCAATGCGGCAGCCACATCGCGAACGTAACCTTCAGGAAAATACTCCATAATTTGCTTGCAGGAGCGATTAAGGGAGGCAGCGATATGTGAAAGGGATTCAGCATCCTCCAGTGCAAGCCGCTCAAAGTGCACCATTGTTAGCGTCATGACCGCCACCAGCTTGACAGCGTTGGAGTCTCGGTGGGCACCTTGCAGTATCGTACACAGTTGGCGCAAATTTTCACTCCGCAGTGGAGAAATCTCAGGCGGAATTCGAAGAAGATCGACTCCGTCAATGCACATGCGTTTCAGGATCTCATTGTATAACCACTCGGGGGAGCCGCGCAACGCATCCGTGCGCAGAATACCACTTTCTTGTAATTCGTGCTCTCGCCTCGCAGCGGTGGAGATGGAAGTTACTGAGAAGGTCGAGAAGCGCTGCTGAAAGGAGTACAACGAGGACTCGTCACGGGAAAGGAAATAAAGCGACTGCGAGTAACTCCCTGGGCAACGGTAGACGCGACTGATGGATTTTGATCCCTGCTGCACGGCAAGAACGATCCCGTCCCCTCCCTTGTGTACGGAGGGGATGACAATGAGGACCTGAAACCGACTCACCAGGACTTCCGACTGCTGCAGCAGCTGCTGTGGAAAGCGAACATTGTGGTCAAGCGATTCGGGCGGGGTGCACGGACAGCAGAGGGCCTCGTCCCAGACGAGCGCCTGCTCCGGCATACAAATGGCCCGCATGGTGGCGAGCTCCTTCAGCCAAAACCCCTCCCCCTCATCCAGCGGCAGGCAAAATAACGGCTTCGCAAATGCCTCCGAGACTCGTTCAGTAGCAAACTTCTTGATCAGGCGTCCCTCGAGTCCCTCTCCAGGCCAAACCACAAGAGAGCCCACATGCCCAGTGCCATCAAATACCGTCGCCCGACTGACTTTGAGCGTTTTGGTTTGGGCGGTGCGGGCCCCACGCAGTTCAACCAAAGTATTGTCGATGCCCAGCGTCCACGTTCCCCGGTTCCATTTGCAAAAGATAAAATGCCACGGGGCACCGCTGGGGCAGACGCCAGAGCAGCTGTGGGGGCCCTGCGTCAAGGTGATGACGCCCCCCCGCAGGTGCAACGTAAACCTGTCATCATCCGCCTCCAAGACGACCAAATTTCCCTCAAAGTCGCTGTGGATGTGCGAGCAGATGACGAAAGTCTCAACAGCCCTATCGGCGCCGGGACCGAGCCTGTCCAGCACCGTCTTCCCACACTCCACAAAGTAGAGGGAACTTTTTCGTCCGCTCGGCAAACGCGGGGAGAAGAGGAAGTCAATGGCGTCGGACGTCACCGCGGTTGGAATGGCCGGAAACTCTGTGTTGTGTTCGCTGAGGTAAACGAGATCGGTGCTGAGCACCACGTGACGCAGTCCAGCCACCATCGTTAGGATGAGCTTACTCGAGTCAGGGGAAAACTGCATAATCCACAGTGATCGAGGAAGAAACACGTCCACCGACTCCGCCAGCATCTCCCCCGTCGCGGTGTCAAAAAGCAAGATGCCAGAAACGGTGGCGGTGGCCAAAAATAAACCACACGGCGAGACACAAAAGCAGACAACACTGATCCCCTCCGACAGCATGAGCGGCAGTTTGGTCGTGTCAGAGTGGTGGGCATCCACCGGAGATGACATCAGATGCTGCGATGGTGTGGTCAAGGCAAAGCTTCGCAGCACCGCCTCATAGTGAGGCAGCACACTAGGGACAATGCTGGAGCGAGAATGGGAGCAATACTCCTCGAGGATGCCGACGTAGCGAAGTATTTCTTGAAGTTCCCCGCGAGGAAGAACGACAAGTCCCAGCAAGCTGCACACCTCACCCTTTCGCTCCTGTGAGCAGCGCTCCTCCATGAGTAGCTCTCTGCAGGTTTCAATTGCGGTCCGCACAATAGATGGATCTAGAGCGCGGGTGGTGGCCGGAGATTGCTCAACCTTTTCCAAGGCGATGCCAATGCTGTCGAAGTGCCTAATATTTGACAGCCACATGGATATTGTTAACGCCGCCATTTCTGTTGCTGGTGTGAAGGACTGGAAACGCGGTACCCCAAGTGCGCCCGACGCGTGCTCTTGGGAGCTAAGCAGGGGTGTTTGCTCGCCGCTTAAAATCCCCTCTTTGTTTTCAACCGTCGACTGCGCCGTCATGGCGGCAATACCTTCCATAAGCCCACCAACAAGAGTCTCGTACAGCTGAAAGGGAGACGGATCCTTCGCATCCTTGCAGTACACGGCGGAGAGCCCTTTTATGTACTGCATCACAGCCTCAGGGCTAGTTGGGGTCTCACCGTCAAAATCGGGAGGACTTGGCAAGAGTGGAAACTCCGCCTCAAGCTGGTGCTGTTTTTGCTGCATGTACGGAACGTAGGCGGTGCTGTAGAGCTGAGAAAGCGTCAGCTTGTCTATGCGCAAATCCTCATCCTTGTTAGACAACTCGTTGGGGTCCTGGATGTAGAGGGAACCCTTAAGCAGCGGCGACGGCTGAACATACTTTGCCTCGTACGTCGTCGACCCAAAAAGCAAGGCGTCGTTGTCATTTACATGCGCCTCGCTGGAGAGCAGCGACACCATCGCCCTTGGCGCAAAGCCCGGGGGCGCGTTTGTGGGGGGAAACCCGCTGCCCGCCTGCGCCATCGCCGTCAATCGAAAAATGGGCCTGAGACAGTAACTAATGGGGGAGGAAAAAAAAAAAAAACTTTTTTTTTGTCCTGCGTGTGTGCCCGGTCGAAAAATGTCGCGGAGATATCGCCGCCGATGGGGAAAAGAGAGAAACCACAAAACAAATAAAAATTAGGGGGAGGAAATGCGAGGAGGAGAGTACGCGAAGGACACCCACAGCGGAGGTTGGCAGAAATACGGGGGTGGAAAATAGGGAGTGGTGTGGAGCAGTAAAGCGAGCCGATTGAGTTTACGCGCACCAGCTCACTCAACCCAGAAACAAACAAAAAGTAAAAGGAAAAAAAGACGGGCACACACACTCTCACGCTCACGCGGAGACGCACCGCACATCAACATTCCGGCTGCCAAATCCTGCGGTTCCAATGGCAGCCATCATATACTCAAGCCATGTGCGGTGGGCGGTGCCTCCTCCACTACGGCCACTCCCCTAATCTAATCGGCCTTCGCTCTTGACGCCTTCTCCACGGCATCTTCGCCGTCGCCGTCTCGGCGACGGGTCGGCGGCCGTCAGCTTCCAGCAGAACATCCGTCCGACGGATCCTTTTCGGGCGGCGGGGCCAACTTGTCGCCGCTCGCGGGCTCAGGCTCCCTGCGGCGGAACCACCCAATGATCCACCGCACCACGGCGACAACAACGTAGACCACCACCCAGCAGGACACTCAGACCATCGTGGTGCGCGACTGCTACCGGGGCGAGGGCAAAAAAAAAAGGAAAAAAAAGGAAAAGCGGTGGAGGTGGAGGCGGGGTAAAAACACAGGCGATTCAACAGCAAAGGAGACAAAGAAGAGAACAGAAGAGAGCAAGGACACGTGGCCCCGTCAGTGATGCAAAAAGCTTGCTCCCAAATTTCGCTCAGCTGAAAAGAAAAACAAGAAAAAGACCCACCCAGTCCTTCAGAGTAAGGAAACAAAAGAAGTAAAAAATAAAAAAATAAAAAAATAAATAAAAAAGAACGGGCACACACACACACGCTCACGCGGAGACGCACCGCACATCAACATTCCGGCTGCCAAATCCTGCGGTTCCAATGGCAGCCATCATATACTCAAGCCATGTGCGGTGGGCGGTGCCTCCTCCACTACGGTCACTCCCCTAATCTAATCGGCCTTCGCTCTTGACGCCTTTCCCACTTCGCCGGCAGCTTCCAGTAG